GACCATACCTATATACTGTAAGGCATATTTATATATATCTTTTTTTCAAAATACCAAACAGATCATGCATTTTAGCCATGCCTCATTTAGCTCAATTTGCACTTTTTTACCCCTGTTTTTGCAAGGGGTGATTCTGTGAGAACAGCACCACCTACAGGCCTGGCATATGTACTACAGCGTCTCCAGCGCTTTCGAACGGCAATGGCCGTGGCTGTCTCCTCCTGATTGGTGGAGTTGGCCCAATAGTGACAGTGTTCAAATCTGGATCAGTTTTTATCAGATCCGTTGCAGCCCCTTTTTTAGAGATTTGGGTATGGAGGAAAATAGAGAGGGTTGTGTTTTCTGACACTTGGTGAGTTCCCTGGAATACCGGGGACACATATTCATGTATAAAAGACATACAAAAGTGCATTTTGCATGATAGGTCCCCTTTAAGTGCATGTAATATATACACATCTTAAGTCAAGTATTGGTATTTTTTCAAAACAACTAACCATTGGTATTTTAAAGGTCCCCTATTATACTGTTTTTCATCAATATATTATAGGTCTCAGATATATACAAAACATGTCTCTGATTGGCTCCAAACACCAAACAGATCATTGCAGCATCCCATAATCCCCTCTGTTTCAGCCCTGTTTCAAAAGTGCTGATTCTCTGTCTGTTACTCTTGATCAGTGGTTCCCAAACTTTTTGTGCCCAAGGCACACCAAAGGACAAGTAAAAATCTCAAGGCACACCTATTGTGCAAAATAGCCCTTATAACACGTGTTATCACTCATATCATGTAAAATATCTGTAAATGTGCATAATTATTTACTAATGTCAAATAAAATGTGACAAAGACAACTATATTACTCATGAAATATTTATTAATGAAATATTTCTGAAATTAATTTGAAACTTTATCAAATTAGGCTTCATCAAAGCAGCAACACACTCATTTAAACCAGACAGGTCACAAAATAAAAAATTGTGGAGGATCAGTCTTTGGTGGTCGGCTCCCATCTCGGCGCACAGCTGGGAGAAGAGGCGAGATTTCAGGGGCCTTGATTTGATGTAATTCACCATCTGCACAGCCTGATTCAGCACCTCAGTCAACTCCGGGGCCATGGTTTTGGCAACTAATGCCTCTCTATGCAAAATGCAGTGGTTTGTCACGATATGTGGGTTTTGTGCTCTCACCTTAGCAATAAATCCTTTCACTTTCCCCGTCATGCTTGCCGCGCATCTGTGCAAAGACTGACGCACATATTCCAGGTCAGACTGTTCTCTTTTAAATAGTTATTAGTTACCCTGAATATTTCTTCTCCCGTAGTATGGCTTTCCATTTCTTTGCAGAAGAAAAACGTCTCTTTGATAGAGTCAGCATCAACATATCTGACGTTTGCCAGAAGTTGGGCAGCCCCACTTATGTCAGTAGGTTCGTCTATTTGTAGGGAAAATCTGCCGCTCGCCTGCAGTGCCATAAGACAGGTAACTTTCATGATACTGTCTGCTGACAGTTTTTTTCCTCTTTTCTTTCGGTGGTGGGTTGTCGGCAGTCTCTGCACTGGTGGTTGGTGGTTTGCTCCGCACAAGAAAGCGCTCCATTTTCCCTCTTGCGTGTTTCTCTGTTTTAATGTTGTCCTTCAGCCTTCGATGTGTCACGGTCTTATAATTCCCACCTGCAACTGCGTTAACAGCGAAATATGGGGTTCTGTGAGGATTTTTTTTTAAAGAATTGTTTTTAGGTATAGAGTTTGCCTCTGTATTATGAAATGAGTGCATACAAAGTACTGATATAGTAAATTAAAAAATAATTATTTTTGTGTAGTTGTATATTGCAATAATAACGTATGGTTGTCACAAAATCCCACGGCACACCCGGACTTGCCTCACGGCACACCAGTGTGCCGCGGCACACCGTTTGGGAACCACTGCTCTAGATGAAAATAAGGAGCTACTCCCCACGCCCCTCTGAGAGATATTTGGTTAAAAATAACACAATGGTGCTCTAGGAGGAGATTCAGGTGATAAGGTGGGGGGGGAGGGGGGTTACCTTGGTTGGTTATTGGCTCATGGTTACACAAGCCAAAAAATCGTTATGACATCATAAAGTGGCCAAAATCTGAGAAAAGCTCATTTTCAGACAGGTTTTTATATAAATGGATCAGGACAAAAAGTGAGAGGGGGGACATGTTTATGTATAAAAGACATGAAAAAGTGGATTTTGCATAATAGGTGACCTTTTTTAATAGTCTCTTGGCTAACTCATATTTACAGAAATGTTCATTAATGTGCACTGTCCCTGTTAAATAAATGAATAAATGAATTGAAGCAATCATCCGACCTCTACAGCTAACTCAGAATGCTGCAGCCCGACTGCTCTTCAACCTCCCCATGTTCTCCCACACTAACACCTCTCCTTCGCTCCCTTCAGTGGCTGCCAGTGGCTGCCAGAATACGCTTCAAGACACTGGTACTGGCCGAGCTGTGAGGGGATCAGCCCCTTCCTACATCCAGGCCTTTGTTAAACCATACACTCCAGCATGTGCATGCTTTGCTCGGTGTCAAGAGGGACCCAGGTACCCCTCAAAAACATGCCAGTTTGCTATCCTGACTCATTGAGATCAGGACTGCAGGAACTCTACATATCATCTTTCGCAGACGGAAAACGCATCTGTTTCGATTGTACCTAGGGAATTAAATGATTGAAAAAAATGTTAATGTAGGCTTTGTATCTAATTCAGCAGACCTTACAATGTTAAGACTTGCTTGAAGTGAATATATCTACACTTTCCTTGTTGTTCAGAGTTTTAATCTTTATGGTTTTTGCACTTATATTGTAAGTGGGTTTGGATAAAAGCGTCAGCCAAATGTAATGTAATGTAATGTAAGCAATATGCTGGGCTCAGAGTTCATGTTTGAGGAAACACATGAAGAAGTTCTCTTGGTTAATTTTCTTCATTCTCTTGGTTGATTTCTTCATTCTGATGCTGTGCAGAAAAGCGGAAACACTAGAGGCCATGGAGAGTTGTATTTTGTAACTGTCTAATAAGTGTTAGTATAGTGAAGTCTCTCAGAGGGAGACCAGAGGTTGAGGTCAGCCGTATTGTAGAACACCATTGGAGCTGGAATTGCCAGTTTGCTCTGAGTTCCTTCAGCAGAGTAGAAGTTCACGTCAATTCTCCTTCTCTTGTTGAAAACCTTAAAGACCAGGGGCCATATTCATAAAGTTTTGCTTGTGCAAACATGTATTCCTTGTGAGAATATTCTCACAAAATACTGAATTCAGGGAAATGGTTTATGGTAGATTAACATGTAGAAATGTATGAAATGAAAGCAAATAAATACAATAACCATCAGCATGTGAATACGTTTATGGCTTAAACTGAATTACATAAAACAGAACTACACCATGCCTTAATTAAGATACAATTCTACAATTAGACCAATTAATTTCATCCTAGGCCTATAATCACATAAGTGCATTGTCTCTGTTTTTTTTTGCTGATCAATTACACTTTTTTAATAAAATAGCTAGCAACAGGGTCAACAACGCCTCATCAATAAGGTCAATGTTTCTGTCCTGACTTTGCTGAGAGTTGCTAGAGAGAGTTTCTGAGAGTGTTCTCTGAATGTTTCTAGATATGTCCCCTGATCACACTCTATTGAATTCAATCCTAAAAACCCTAATGGCAAAATGAAAATGTCTCTTTCTCTTCATGTTAGTCTAGATTGCGTCTGAAACTGCTGGTGAAGTATGTGCACATAACACGCAAGTCAACTTGCACAACTCCATGTCTATCATGTGAATGCCTTGCACGACATTCACATACTGTGTATACAGTACACTGGCTGTTGTTAGCTAATGCAGCACTATTTTAATATTCTGGACGAGCAAAAATGGTGCTCTTAGTCCAAATGATATTATTCCAGGAATTTTGTATCCCAAATGCTATTCATGTGATCAAAAAAATACAGAAAAACGTGATGATTTTCTTATCTATTCATGGTTTCGTTTTTAGATTTTCCTTGGTGAGCCAAGAAAAGACAATTTTCCTGCCTTGGCTTTTGATGGTATTATTCTGCTGCTGCCATTCACACTTCGCACATCACCACTCACACTTCTCATCTTGAGAAGGCATCCATCTGTTATCACACTCTTACAGTGTGAACTGTACATGCCTCCACTACACAAACCAGGCTTTTCTCATAATCACTTTATTACATGAATTTTAACCTAATTTTACTAAAAATAAAACATTTCTGCATAACAACTTGGCCTAACATTTTCTAAATCAAATTGAACATAATGTAATGTAGTTTTTTGGAGTGTGAATAAGCATGAAAGGATGAAGCAGGAGCAAGATCTGCACAGCTGGAGGAAGTGCACAGGTCCAGGAGGAAGCTGTAACCCTGCTTGAGGAGCTGGATAAAAGTTAGATTCCCAAACTTCACAAATGCATTCTAGCCTGGCAACAAAAGAAAAGAAAGTAGAAGAAATAGATGCTGGTGGTCAATTACAGTGTCCTCTCTGACCCTGGGACCGCCTCTTGTCCAGCTGACAGTGCAAAGCTGAAGGACACTTGCTCTACACATCTGTTCTTTAACATCTGGAAATTGATGAAAAATGCATTTGGTACTTATGTGTGATGGGAGCAATGTTGCTTCAGAGCAGTACCTGTGTAGGAGTAAAACAGACTAGAGAAGGTCATTCAAAGTGTGTGGGAGCATCAAGGTACATGCTCTCAAAAACTGCATTCTCAGTGTAAGTTGAGTAATGATGTGAATACAAATTGTGTTTAGAACATAAAGCTGCACTGGCTGCATACATGGTCATTTATTTATTATTTTATGAAATGCTAATGAAGCATTACTACCTAGCCAGCTTCCATATTACACTTGATTTCCCTGTTCTTTCAACTAATGTTGGTGGGTGTAATAATACCATAGCTCTTTTTGCAAGAGGTGTTGCGTCACAACTATTCTCTTCTACTCCGTCTCTTCCTATCTAGTCAAGACAACCATCCTGAACTACCAGAGTCCCACCACTGGCCTCTTCCCCATCAAAACATGCTCCACCTGCAAAGAGGCCAAGGTCCGGGACTCCCTGTACTGTGCTGCCAGTGCCTGGGCCCTGGCTCTGGCCTACCGGTGAGTACACAAAAACTCCCTCTTGCACTCTTAACAGTTTCATCATGCAGGATGTGTTGCATGAACGCAGGTTTTAAGGAATCATATGCAGGGTGCGTACGGGTGCTGGAAATCCTTGAAAATGCTTGAAATTGTACGAGGTGTTTTCAAGGTTTGAAAAGTGCTTGAATTTTGGGAATGGTGCTTGAATTTGGGATAAAGTGCTTGAAATTGTAAATGCTTTACTTCGCTTTTTAGATTAAAAGAAAATAAAGAAGTCGGAGCGCGCTTAATTGCTTCGCTTTTACATAAAACAGCTCCGCTCCGGCCTTCCCGCGCAATGCGCTTGACCGGCAAGTGTTTTTGTTACGTGTGTGACCTGGGCATTCTGATGAGTGATAGATGACAGGATGCCAGGAGGTTGCCGTTTCAACGAGCGTTGGCTAGCAGAAGACAAATACAAGCCATGGCTAAGACGAGGGTCAAGTGAAGCCCAAGAGTAGCCTCCTGCAAAGTGTGCAACAATAACGATGCGAGAGTCTGCGCTGACGAGCCACACACCACACGAAAGGTACGCGGTAGTAGAGCATTTTAGATTAGGCTATCGTTGCATGTAAAATACATGACACTTTTCTCTGTGCGCGGCAAAACAAGCTCGCTTCACTAGTCTGGCAGTATTTTAAGTGTCCGAAAATGACAATAAAATAGCGGTATGCAACGTGTGTGTGAAGCAGAAATCCTGCAGCTCCACCCGCTGTGACGGACCGGTGAGCGGAGCAGAACACACAGTAAGAGTTAGACCTAACACACTTAGCTATTTTATCTACCTCTGGAACAAGCTAAACTAGTTATAAATATATTTATTCTTCACTGTCGGGTCACTCATTACTGGATCAATGAGCTGCAGGAGATACTGACGGGCTGTCAGGAGAGAGAGAGAGGGGGAGAGAGGGGGAGAGAGGAAAAGAGAGCGCTTCCGCTCATTTCTCCCGTGTTATTATCCCAAGTTAATGTGAACTTGAATAATGTACTTCATTTGAATGTAATAATTATGTTGGTTGGTTGGTTTGTGGAAGCGCCAGTGAATGAGCCCCATTAACTGAGTTTTAAACATCACTTTAAATGGAAAATCCCCATAGGCCCCGCCCACTCGATCGGATCGGCGATCGGTATCGGCCGATACTGATTCCGGCGATCGGCTCCAAAATTGGCGATCGGAGCATCCCTAATAATTGTATATGATATGTTTTATAATGATTGATCATTAAAGTGTTCTTAAAGGTGCAGCTAGTTTGAATGACTTTGTATACTACAGAGTAGCTTGTGAATTTACTCCAGGTGGAACTAAAGTCTGATTTAACACTTGATTATATTTCACATCATTCATCCACATCTGTGAAGTAACTAAAGGTATTAAATACATGTAGTGGAGGAAAAGTACACCAGTTACCTCTGACTTATGTTTACTGCCAACCTAAAAGTACCTCAAAAATAGTAATCAATAATATATTGAAAAGTTATTTGGCTGATTGTTTTATATTGGCTCAGCCAGGTTATATGGGATGCCCAGTCTACGTACAGATCGGTTACTCATTTTGAAATATTAAACTTAGTTTTCTTTTCTAACATTTTTAATTTTTCATCCTCATGTAGAATGCTATTATGAAACACACATTTGGTTGTTTATAGCATAAAGAACATCTGATTTAATGTGAGGTAGGGAAATAATCATTTGAGTATAAGTATGTGTATATAAATATGTAATTTACAACAGCTGTAAGATGCTTGAAAAGCTTGAAAATGCACCTTGAAAATGCTTGAAAAGTGCTTGAATTTGACTTTGGAAAAGGTGTAAGAACCCTGCATATGGCAATGGGTGTCTTCATTTGCATTCATTCGTACAGGTAAATTGGTGCTTAGCTGTTTCAGGAATCATCTTCACGCTTAAGAAATAAAATATCAGATGACTATTTCTGTAAACTGGGCATGGGCGTGCTGTTGTAACTAGGAAGCAGATTATCCTAATGCCACAGGTCAAGAAAATTGTCTCAAATAGCTCCAAACATCACTTTCCTCCTAATCATGTTTGCATTAGTAGCAGTATAAAATGCAGAATATATCTTCCCGCCAGCTGCTAGCATATACAACAGGGTCGGCAACGCCTGTAATTTGTTAGCCAAATTGAATTTGCCTCTGCTAGTCAAGGTTGATGTTGTTAGTCATAGTGGTTCACGTGAGAGAGATGTGACAAATCTTGGAAGGACAAGTTGTGACCCAATCAGGAAGTGAACTTGGCTGTTTGCATCCTCGTTTTTCTTTCCAGACTAAAACACAGCAGTTATTCAAAAGTCTCAGTTTTGGAGGTTTGAAAATACCGGATTAGCTAAACACCTAAAGGTAGAAAAAGTTATGCATTTCAAAGCAAAAACATTAGCTAGGATGTCTCTAGTTCTGTGATATGATGCTCACAGAATACATTTTTGAGACTTTTTTTCCAGAAGGTAATGCAGTTTTAAGCGGATTACTGATCACACTCTTGAAAGATTAACAAACGAAATCGTCCATTCACTTGGTTGCTGTTTTTTTCATTTTTGAAACGCAGATCATAGAAACTCCCCAAACTGTTGAGTATTGCTTTTACTACAGCCCATGAACACCATAGTAACATGTGGAGAACACCCAAAGTCTGACACACCTGCCATGCCTAGTAACGGTCGCTAAACTACGATTGCACCAACCACATTGACCTACAGATCCTGTACCTTAGAGGAGAGATTCACACAACCGTATGACATATCAAATCCAATATACAAACAGGGCACATTTCTACTTTGAAGAACTGTATCTCCATTAGGCTAACCAAATGCCCTTTATTATATTTGTCATATAAGTTGTGAGAGATTTTACCAGCACTACAGCAGAATTGATGTAAAGGAACCCTAAAATGGATGGATAGATCACTTAAAGCGACTTTATAGAGCGGAACAGACCGGGAATCCTGAGTTTTCATCGGTTTACGCTTCTGCCCTCCGAATCCCTTCTTTCTCGTTTTGTTCCATTCATTTCTATTTCATGCTTACTGACCCTGATCTCTAATCGTCCTCTGTCATTTGGAGGCTTTGCTTTTCAAACACATAGGGATTGTTGGTTGGTTCAAGGAGAACACTTTAGGATTTCACAGAGAATCGTCTAAAAGCCCCTACAACTCCTTTATCAACCGTCTCTGCACTTGATGCCTGCCTTCCTCTGTGATTAGTTTCGAGGGAAAAGAGCACTTCCACGAAATGAGCCTGTAATAGGACAGAGGAGAAAGGAGGGAGGAAAAGAAGTGGGGTGAGAAGGAGATTTGGCGGATCGAGACAGAAAGGGAATGTAGGGAAAGAAGGAGATACTAAAGGTTGAGATACAGAGGAGAAGGTGAAGTGTACAAAGGGTGAGATAAGAGGACAGATCAAATAAGATGGAAAGGATGGGTGGAAGAATGGGATGGAAGGGGAAGACAGAGGGTAAAAATAGAGTGCTGCAGTGATGTGACCAGCGGCAGATCTCAGTCATCAGTCATGGCTGCCTTCTATTAGAATTGTCACTGAGATTTAATTAAGATGATTCTCATCTGACAGGCTTGGCTAGTGCCATTACTTTCACGCCCAGTGTGTGGAAGTGTCTGTGTGGGTCTGTGCTGGGCCTTTGAAGTCCTATTTTAAGTAGACTTTATACGTTATATATACATATATATATATATATATATATATATATATATATATATATATACTAGGGCTGTCAGTCGATTAAAATATTTAATCGCAAATTAATCGCACATTTTTTATCTGTTCTAAATGTACCTTAGAGGGATATTTTTCAAGTTTTTAATACTCTTATCAACTATGGTTTATATGTTTGTTTATTATCATTTGAACAATGACAAATATTCTCATGAATATTAAACACAACAACCTCTGAACATTACAAATATTCGCCTCAATTCAACCTGGAACCTCTCTCATACAATAATACAGTGTGTGTGTGTGTGTGTGTGTGTGTGTGTGTGTGTGTGTGTGTGTGTGTGTGTGTGTGTGTGTGTGTGTGTGTGTGTGTGTGTGTGTGTGTGTGTGTGTGTGTGTGTGTGTGTGTGTGTGTGTGTGTGTGTGTGTGTGTGTGTGTGTGTGGTGTGTTGTGTGTGTGTGGTGTGTTGTGGGTGTGTGTGTGTGTGTGTGTGTGTTGTGTGTGTGTGTGTTGTGTGGGTGTGTGTGTGTGTGTGTGTGTGTGTGTGTGTGTGTGTGTGTGTGTGTGTTGTGATGTGTGTGTGTGTGTGTTGTGTGTGTGTGTGTGTGGTGTGTTGTGTGTGTGTGTGTGTGTGTGTGTGTTGGTGTGTGTGTGTTGGTGTGTGTGTGTTGGAGCTATGTGCAGCTCAAGGCATCTATGCTGTGTGTATGAGCTGGTGTTGCGCGCACTAGTCCGTGCTGAGTGTGCTGTCTGGCTACCTGCATAAAGTCAAGTGCTCGGCGCAGTTGTCGGCGAAATGTCGCTCCTCTGTTTTCATTGAAACAGCTCCTTATATCCGTTAGCTCAGCTAGCTAGCACCAGATGCTAACAACAACACGTAAGGTGTGCTTCGCTCGCCGCCACACATACACACACCCTCCCGGTCCTCCCGATGGCCCAGTCCGGGCCTGCCGGTGAGCGTGGAAGTGTGGTCTGCCACAAGCGGGCGGCAGGAGCGGGGCTGTCAGCATCAGCTTGTAGATGGTATTTTAAACTCGATGCGCTCTGAAACTACGGCGGCCGAGGACAAAAAATACACATGCGTTAATCGCGTTAAAATAATTAGTGGCGTTAATTTTTTTTTTGCGTTAACGCGTTATTAACGCGTTAACTTGACAGCCCTAATATATACATATATATATATTAGACTTTGCATTTTCTTTTTTTTAAATTGACAGATGAAAATGGACAAAATGAGAATAATAAACACCTTAATGTGTATATTGGATGTTACCTCTCCAATACTTGGAAAAAAGCTCATTTAAAGGTGGGGTAGGTAAGTTTGAGAAACCGGCTCGAGATACACTTTTTGTTATATTCCATGGAATGCTCTTAACACCCCGATAGCAATGAATATCTTAAGTGCTTTGACAAAAAATCCATAAAAAAATGTCATCTGTGGAAGCCGTAGTACTGTAAAAAGCACGACCAATCATTTTAGCCATCCCGGCTAAAATAACTGGATGGCCTACCTGCCTGTCAGCCTTCCATCTGTGCACAAACTTATCTCGTGCCCTCATTGGTCATGTGCGCGTTCGTGTGTGTTGGAGGACGGGCTCTGTAAGGAAGTGGCAGATTTTCTCCGGTTGTGTATTTTCAAATTCTAGCGATCTCGAGCCGGTTTCTCAAACTTACCTACCCCACCTTTAAGGGAAGCAAAAAAGGCGAAACTCTAATGACCAGTGAAGTTCATTCTCATATTTTCCTGTAGTTGTTTAACCTTTCTGACACCCATTTTATTTTCCTGATTAATTGTAATTAACTTTGAAAAGTTGTTACTGTAACCCCTGGCCAATGTTAGATCCCCTCATGCATATTACATTTAAAAACTTGTAGTCCGGTAATGAAGTACTTTAAAACAGGACGTTGGCAGATGAAAAGCTGTATCCTCTGCCTGCAGTCCCTTTTGATGTGGAGGGTCACATCGAACAGTCAGCGTGATTAATGTATCATTTACCATTGAAGTTTCACCTCTGCCGCTCTGCTTTCCTCTGTCGATACTCAAAGTCATTATTAGCATGACCTTTGTAATGTGCTTCTGAGGCCCACCAGCAATATGCTGACTAACACCGGGGTCACTGGCACCGTAATTGATCGACTTTTGAGCTGTATCTTAGCAAGATTACGCTCATAAAAACATTATTATTTAATATGTTGGTGCTCAGAATTTGGGATGATATGTATACCATTAAAAAGTTATGTTTTTTTTAAGGCTTTACAAATAACATATTGATTTTTTGCCACTGTTGAATGCCACTGATGAATAGTTTAGACATTGTGATGAAAAGGTGAATACTTCAATCCCCGCTTTAAACAGTTATCAAATGCTACATTTACACTGCAAACATTGCCCATTGCTGATTTATTGCTTGGATCCCAATTTTTGGGTTTGGGCTTTTCACGTTGTTTTTTTCGAAAGTGGCCAATCTTAGATTCCAGTTAGAACTGACTATTGTCGATCTAGATTGACGTTAAAGTCCCATAAATACTGAAATAAAAATAAAACTACATCTTTGGCCACTTTTGAATGCAGTTTGAACGTTTATTTAGAAATGTAACTGAATTCAGTTTGTCTGTACCAAGGAAAGAAAATTGATTGGCACTTTCTGGTGTTCGTCTGTTTAGTATTTACATCTTTCAAGTTAATCAAGACTTATTCATTGGGCAGCTAGGTGGACATATTATGAGGAAATGGGCCCCTGGGCACACACATCTGAAGGGCCCCCTATCCTTTCCTAATAGCAAGAACCATGGTGTCAAATGAGACGTCTTTGTAGTCGTTTTGGTATTATGTCTCTTTTTAATCATTTTGTGTCTCCTTCCAGATATTTTGTGTTCCTCTGTTAGTTTTGAATCTATTTTGAGCAATTTGGGTCTCTTGGTCATTTTAGGTCTCTTTTTGCTCTTTTTGTATCTATTCGTAGACATTTTGCATCTCTGTCTCGTTCATCTCCTTTTGAGACTTTCCAACATTAAATGTTAGCAATAACTTGAAACAGAGGCCCAATATGCCCGTTTAGTATTTGGTCCATATAATGTCAGACTGTAATCTTTGTTCTTCCCTTTTCTGTCTCTATGCAGACGCATTGATGACGATATGGGGCGGACCCATGAAATGGAGCATTCTGCCATCAAGTGCATGAGAGGAATCCTCTACTGCTACATGAGACAGGCTGATAAGGTGAGTTTGTTAGGCATCCTCCAATCAGCTCCTGCTTTCACGCTACGCTATTTGCATAAAAGCATCCAACAATTACACACTGTATTGCAGATCAAAGGTGTATTTCTAAACTGCTATTCATCAAAGGGCTTTCAGAGCTGAAGCACTGTGTTACGGCCTAGAGATATTGGACCCCAAAGCAAAAGACTTAGGCCATATGTACACGGGAACGTTTGCGTTTATGCACAGTATGCGCTTTCAAAAAAGTCTTCCATTCATATGCATTCGTTTCATTTAACGTGTCTGTTCAAACGAGACCGCTGGAAACGCTGTAGTACATATGCCGGGACTGTAAGTGGCGCTGTACTTCCACACGAGACCGCTCGAAAGCGCTGGACACGCTGTAGTACATATGCCGGGACTGTAAGTGGCGCTGTAACTTCCGCCACAAAATACACCAAAAGCAGCGAAGAAGACCCCGGAGCAGCCCCGCAGCAATGTTGCCATGGCTACCCTTCTGTTTATGCCCCGCGGTGGATTTAGCAACATGTAGTAGTTCATGTAATTCTCCATGTCCACTTGTTGCTGATGGTTGTGGTAGAGGAGCTGTAGATTTTGTACTAACATCTGTAGCATGTTCAGTAGCACTAGCAGTAGCTACTGACAGGAGCTACTGGCCATGCTACAGCAGTGAGCAGGAGAGGCGGGGCTATCGTTATTTTTTCAGGAAATATTCGTATTGAGGCGATTACACGGACTCGTTTGACCCCCCAGAGCGTTTCGTTTGCAAATCTATCCACCTTGGGACCCGTTATCGTTTGTGGGGTCCGTTTGTTACGGCCTCGTGTAAATAATAGGGCTATACGCAAGAGAAACTATGCAGATACAAGCCGTTTCGTTCTCGTGTAAAGGGCCCCTTAGAGAGAGAGATGGTCAAAAACAAAACGTTTATTTTAAGCAGAGGCACAGGTAATGGCAGTGGAGGCAGGATGCTGGCTGGCACGGAGACAGAAAGGACAGGAGACAAAAATCCAGGCGACGAGATCACAGGGACGAGGAGAGCAGCGAGACACACAGGAGGGTCGAACACGACGGAATTATCTGGCAGGGAAGTGGCATGAGGACCGGGCTTTTATGTCAACAGGTTGAAGAGGTGAGTGAAAACAGGTGTGCCTCGTCTGCTGCTGGGAGGAGCCAGCCAACTCCCTGTCACACACCAGCCCTGCAGTGGAAAACAGAGAAGGGAGGGGGAGACAGAAGAAAACACAAAAAAAACACACAACTAAACCAAAACTAAACAGAATCATCACACACTGGACACATCTGGTACCTCTTTCATATCAAAACAAATGTCAATAGGAGCCAGTTGCGCTAATCCTAAGGGCTTAATAACCTGCAATCTGTTAATTGCCAAAGACTTTTGCTCCGCAGGGGAACGATTTCACAGCACGCCTGCAGGATGCATGTACCTGGCTGCGAATGAAAAATCGCACCATTTTACATAACCAAAACATAACCAGATCTTTTTTATTCCTCACATTATTTTACAGAGAAGCTGAAAGCCATTCTGTTCCATCTTGCCTCGACCTTGACGACCTAATTTAGGGGAGAGCTTTCCTGTGTCTTAATTACAAAGCTGCATTTACACAGTTAATTACACAGATCAACGTTTGTTACGGCCCCCGTCTCCAACACTTATAGAGAACATGGCATTTTAAATGGAGACGTGACACGTGGACACCGCTGGGCAAATACAGCAGCTGGCCCCACTGTAGTGGTGTACAGTATGGGGAGATGTTCTTTTTCTTTTTTTTAAAGGAATTTCCTTTTTAGTTGGGACAAGCAAATAGCAAAAGTCACTTTGTCCACTGGAAAGGTTCCTTTTTTTCTTGAAATCCCACAAAGTCAGCCAGAAGATGCAAGGGTATAATGGAGTTATTTTCTCAGGAAGCCAAAAGCATTTGACTTTGACAAAAGAGACGAGGGTGCATGATACTGTAGGTCGTTTTTTGATACTGAGGGGAAGAAAAATAAATGTTTCCGTGTTTTTTAACAGTTTGATGATACCTTTATTAGATCATTAGGCTTCCAACAAAACATATGTGCTGATCCAAACTAGAAAAGTGCACCTTTTAGAGGTCAGGGGCCTCATTTATAAACGGTGCGTACGCTCAAAAGATGGCGTACGCCAGTTTCTACGCAATGTTTGCGATTTATAAAAATCAAACTTGACGGGAAAATGTGCGGCCCTCCACGCAAACTCTGACCCATGCGTAGCCTACGCACTAAGCACAAAAACGGGAGAGACGAGAAACTGCGACACCGTTGGCAGAAGGAAGAATGGAGAGAAATATGTGGAAATAATACCATGAATAAAATGTTACCTCTCATGAATCATATATTGAATTCATTATTAACGCCAATCTTAAAATGATTAAACGAACGCCTGTTTGAGAGTCCTCAGTGCACACAAAAACATAACTTGGAGAAATAAATAAATACGGAAATGTTATTGATCACCCCTCGATTATGTTCTCTTGTTAAGAAATGTATTCTCATAAATGATGCGGTAAGCAGGAGGACAGAATTACTTTAAACTGACGCCGTTTTGCATTTCTATAGGTTGTATAGATACGAGCATGGTTTTATATACTATCATGTTTAATCATGTTTTATGCCGTTCGCCAATAGCCTACTTGATAAGTCGCTCGTAAAACACAGGAGGTATGGAAACTAATAACACCATATGTGGTAAATTGTACAGCTAATATAACACAACACATTAGTTGTATTTCCTTTAACTGGTGGATTATGGATATATAGTTGCTGATCGAAAGCTGGAACACAAACCACCAAATACAAAAACATAATTCAGATCCAGTCGTCATGACTCCACTCCGGAGGGATTCCCCGATCATTTCTTACAGTTTCTCATCAAGGGGGTGTCTCCTGTCCCCGGGACAAACACACTGCCTGAGGAAGGCTATGTGTATTTTTTTTGTCATTAACTTTTTTCGGACCACTTATTTATTTATTTTGGTGACGATCCGACCTCCATGCTGCTACTCTGGTTTAAACTGCATCCACCAAACAATATGATTTATCTCGACCTCCCCAAAATAACCTAAATCTGACACGGTGTGAGATGTCTTTTTTAGCTGTTCGGTCGTAATTTCCTGCGATCTTCTTCATGCAGTCAGTCAGAATGAATGAATGAATGGGCGTTTCTTTGACTATTTATAGGCAAATATGGGCGTTACGTGAAGCCCGCAAAAGCTGCGCCGCATTTCGAGTTGATTGTGATTTATAAAGGGAAACCGGCGTAGGATGTGCCGTACGCAAGTCCTGCGCCGGTACGCAGTCTTTTATGAATTGGAAAGTGTCTGTGCGTATTTATTTGCTTTGTCCTACGTAAGCAACCTTCCCACGTCAATCCTACGCAAGGCTTTATAAATGAGGCCCCAGATCTTCCCCAGGTGTGCATTTCTCGCCCTCCCCTAACTAAACAAGAGTTGGATCTCACTCAATTGTTACTTTTGGCTACAGTCGAGCTGGCGGTGAAGATAGCAAAAACAGGGATTTAATCATCTCATATAATGCCTAACTTTAGGGAATTATAACAAACTGTATAAGATATACAATCATTCTGCAGATGCTCCAGTTCAAAATGAGACCAAACCTTTTTAGAAATGTCAGTTTTTTAAAATGGCCCAAATTTGACTTGCAACCCACCTGATTCCTGGAAATGCCTTTTGCCTTTCTTGCAGGTTAAAGTAACAGATTTTCATTTCCAAGATAAGAACTCTGTAACGCACTCTAAAGCAAATCAATGGCGATGAGCTGTAATTACAGCTTTGTTGTTTTTGTATCTCTAATTTACTAAAAGCTAAACAATGTTTGCTGATCACCATTGTGTTACTGTTACCCCATTTGTGTTACCCCATTTTACATTACCCCATTTGTGTTACCCCATTCGCGAAATGTTTCCCAATGAAAATCTTTAGTTATAATTTGTTGATGTGTTATTCTTGCTTATTTCTGAACATCTGTTCTCTCACTCTGTCTCTTTACCATAAGTTGTTTGGAAAAAAACAATCTCCTTTGTAAACAGCTATGACTAGGAATGGCCTAGTTATTGGTTTAAAGAGATCCAAGAGTTTTGTGTTTGTAATAAATGTGATATAAATGCATGAAAGCAGACCGAGGAGCACACTTTGAAGTGTTTCATCAATTTGAAAGTCATATTGGCGCATTGCAGCACTCCAAACAATAAGCAAGATCTGGGCCCTCTCACGATATCCCGAGTGGGGCCACTTGACACCGTGGCTCTGCTGGAGCGAGAATTAGAGAGACCCCTTCACAGAAATGGGTTTTATAGAAACATAAACAGCAGCACCTATTTTTAGCTCTGTACAGAGGTAGCTCTTTCATTCCCATTATCACACACACCACACCCTTATTAGGCGATGTGGGATAGCAGGAAGTGGAGCAGTTTGAGTAAAAGTGGGACAAAGGGTCTCCATTATGACCTGCCGGAGAGAGGAGAGGTACAAAGAGAAAAAGGTGGATAGAAGAAGTGTGGCAGAGGAAAGGAGAACAGAATCTATAGAAAAAAAGCAATAAAGAAATAGAAAGTACTGGGAGAGAAGCGGTAGAAGTGAGGGGAGGGGGCTTGATGATGGAGAGAGCAGCTGAAGAGGCGAAGAAAAGAGAAACAAATGAGGTAAAATGGGACAAAGGGCCAATTATTTATAACTCTGTGCGACGGGGCTGGCGGCCCAGCTGTAATTTAGGGTGCATTCATGTCGATGTAGCAAACACACACACACACACACACACACACACACACACACACACACACACACACACACACACACACACACACACACACACACACACACACACACACACACTCCTACAATACGCTCAACACAAAACACTAACATCTTGTTCTGGGTTTTTATGTGTTTGTCGTGAAGCAAGTAATAGTTTGGTTGCCCTCAACGTGACCCTTTGCTGTTTCAGAGAAGATTGTTATGCATTGACAGTACATCAGCCACATTTGACTCATAGGACAGACTTATTGCCAGCCTATTTTATCTGAGAAAAAACATTATGTGCCAGAGTGTTTATGGATCCATGTAGTCCTGTGTTTTGGTGCTTTCGGAAAGAAAATACACAAGAACCTTTTCATCATCGTAAGTGGTACTCCATGCTAGGCTTTTTTTTCTTTTCGGAAAGGCAAAAAAATACGCCATCATTTAAAAGTAAAGTCCTTATCCTGCAGAGTACTACTCAATCATTTCATTCCGATCATGATTGTAGTCCCGATGCCCTTATATAGCAGCATTTCTGAAATAATAATAGTCCTGTATGCTCTGCAAACCAATAAAGCCCTTTTAGATAAAATACTAGCTTCCTCTTTCCAGCATCCATACAGAGATGGAGAAACATTTTGCTAACAGTTAATCATTTTGCTAACTGTAGCCATACCATAGCCACATCTGTTATTAAAAGGTACACTTTTAGCAGGCTCGGTTCCAGAACAAAATGACTTGGGGTGCATCTGAGATTACAGTTGTAGTTGTAGCGGCCGGCAACAGCAATGAAAACTAGAGAATGCAATTCCTGAAGAAATTGCTAGTGGGAATGCTTTATGCATGAAAATCTGACGCTAAACTGCTATGCTGAAATGTAATGTGTAAGAAGAAAGTGAAGAATTTAGATTGAAATGATACATGAACACTGGGGGCTTGAATGTGTGATGAGTGAAGAAAAGAGAGTAAAAAGGTTTGGAAAAGCAGCAGAATATTTGAACTGCAAACCTTTGAACTAACTTGATGGTGAATGATCTGTCGCCATGCCAACGGCATTTGATGACATCCCATAATAAGCTTAGATGCGTTGATGGCTGCATCGTTACCAAACCTGTGAAGTTTTTGTATATGATCATCCACAGATGTGTGTCACTGCTGTGGAAGCACTTTGGAAATGATGCACGCGCAGCGAAGCATGTCACGCGCACCTGACACAATTTGTTGTTTGTATTTTTCGCTCCCTTCTCTTTTTTGAATAGAGGGTGCATAACATTCAACCGGGGGTGCGAAACGCAATACAGATTTAGCAGAATCTCTCAGTTTTTGATAGGTCAGACTTCCTTTTTTCCATGTTTGCAGTTTATTCCAATGCAGGAATTCCGATGCTGCATCTAAAATGACCAGTGTTTGGACAAAGTGCCTTATTACGGGTTTCCAAAGCCTGAACAGAGCAAGGAATCAAATCAAATCAAATCAAATCAGGTTTTATTTATATAGCACATTTAAAAGCGATTTTTGGTCGAGCCAAAGTGCTGTACATGTAATAAAAACACATTACTACAAATCACAATGACATGGACAATGGCAAAGGAAGAGGTGCATAAGTATAGTTTTCCATCAGATCACTTGCAATATGCTTGATGGTAATAAAGAATAGTCGGCCAATGATGCAAAAACCTTTGAAGGCGATAAGGCTTACTAAAAATGACAACATGTACTTTATAAATGTATAACTTTGTTTCTGCCCAAAACATCGCACTGAGATTAGGCGAGATCATTACCATTTTCTTAATACACATGTTTCCATATAATGTGTTGTTTTGATGAGTTCAAGTCTGCTACTGTGATATACTGAACTGTGGTGAGAAAATACATGTGTCTCCTTCCCTTCCTCTTCCCCTGCCTCCTGCTTAACCTTGACCATCTGTCTCTGTGCATGTCTCTCCCAGGTGGAGCAGTTCAAACAGGACCCCAACCCCTCCAAGTGCCTGCACTCTGTGTTCAATGTAGACACCGGGGACGAGGTGCACTCCTACAGCGACTACCACCACCTGCAGGTCAGCCAATGAAAATGAGTTTTTAAAATATGTGTTGACTCGGTACAGGCAAGAGACACACATGAATGACATGACAGTATGATGAGATGACAATGCCAGCTCACACAAAATACATTTTAATAATCCCGTTCAAATAAGTAGGTAGACAGTCTGATACACCCAAGATCCAAAAACACACATGACATGCGGAACATATTTATTATTCCAAATAGTCCCATTCTTCGTTAGAGCCATTAATCTCTTATTTTGTGTTGGGTTGTTGCCAATTTGTAATGTTTCTTTTAGTAAAGTAATTGCAATGTATTATTTAAAAAGGATTATTTAAGATAACTCCTTGATTGAACTAAAAAATAAGTATTTGACCCAACAGAAAATAAATGTATTTATTATCTGTAGACCATTTTCATCCAGAACACCAAACAAAATGTTCAAAGATGTACATTTACAATTAATATTGAGGTTTGTTTGAGTGCAAACAAAGGAAAAGCCCATGAAATATGTACTTCTTCATTGATCTACTTGGCATGCATGTTCAACTGGATTATTGACTTGTCCTCAGAGGTTGATGTGCATTAAATTGGCTCTAAAACGGCTTATTCTTCTGTCAGTGGTATTGACAAAGGTCAATTTGGTGTGAAACGTTGGGATGGAGACTGCTTTCCTACAGTGAAGAAAGGCTAATACATCAAAGAGAGATGGATAGAGAATCATACTTTTGTGACAAACAGAAACCCTCATAAATCATGAAAGCTGTAAAGATGTTAAACACTCACTGAAAAGTACATTTAGTCCCTGGCTGTGATTTATTCTGCAACAACTTCCCCATGAAGTAAATTGCCTTTATTGATGATTCCAGTTCCAATGCCAAAGGCAAAGGCTTAATCGCTCATATAAAGCTCACGCCTCAGTCCCAATCAGAGACAGCCGTATTGACACATCTGGAAGTATCTCGCAGTTTACAAATGACGGTCATTGTTTTTAATGGTATCTCATCCACTCTGCCCTTCCCTCTGTCATTGCTGCAGATCGATGCCGTCTCTCTGTTCCTGCTGTACCTGGTGGAGATGATCTGCTCAGGTCTGCAGATCATTTACAACACCGATGAGGTAAACAACCAGCTGAAATGACTGCAGGGGTGATTGATTCCGGACAGCAGGGATTTACTCCCCATTGGTTTGACTTGTACAGCAATCAGTATCCATCTTAAGCCCCAGACAGTTTAAAACAACTTATATCATCTTTAAGATAATCACACATTGAACAGGAATACATTCTCCCATGCAGAACATAATTTCCTTGCTGTACATTTAGATGTTCATTGCTTTTTTGTATTGAGTGAAAACCAGATACACTGCATGTAAATTGACCACTTGCTTCTGCTTGTTTGATAGAAGATGACACATATTTGGGAACAATTGTAATATCTTCTGTCAACATATGTCTTAATCATTTAAATACTGTTACTGTAAAATACATACAATACAAACAAAATAGTTTTGCTTTACAGTAACATATTATAGAGCATCTTAAAACGGCATTCTGACATTTACAAGAAACCTGTCTCCCCTTACAGTGGCAGTTGGTGCAAACTAAAAATGGCCAAAACACTAGCAAATGAAGAAACGTCTTGACCAACTTGACAACACATGGGCAGCATTTAGAAAGCAATCAAAAACTTGGCAAAACATATGAAGGTTCAACTAAAGGCGCTGCAAAAGAAAAAACCCTGCAAATATAAAACATTGAAAGAAGCTCAAAACAAACTGAAACGGGACACAGCTCGGAACTGAGCGCTCGTTGACATTTTTGGGGCTAGCAAACCTAGCTAACTTAGACATTTCGGAAGGAATCATGTGATCACATTATTAAAATGAGACGTTTTAGGTAACTTTCTAACAACAATGACAGTTGTGTGGATCACTTGTTAGTGTCCCCGTTTCTGTTGTGTTTTGAGCTTTTTGCAGCGTATTGTTTTTGCAGCGTATTGATTCCTACGTTTACAATTATGCAGTTAGATGTACCCTAAATCCCCTGCAGATATCCTAGAGTAGACACAAACGCTGGATCTGGGGGGCAGTATCTCACTTTTATAGCTCACCTCACATTTATGTTTTTGCTGATCCACTCAATTGACTTTCAACGTAGAAACGTTTCGATGATTTCATTGTGGAGGCTTAAATGTCCTCCTGGGAATCCAGCGGTAATGTCTAATTTGGCAGGACACCAACCCCAATCATTACAGAAAAGCTTTCTATAAATGGATTTCTTCGAGTTTGATATATCTCCCCGCTGTCGGTTTTTGTCTTCTTTACGTTTGTCTCTTAATAAAACAACTTGGCTGTTAAGTTTACACAGTGTGCTGTTTATTGTGGGGCCCCGAGGAGCAGTTTCATTAATTCTGTTAGTTTGTATAGTGTTCGCAGCTTTACTTACCGCCACAGAGCGGGGAAATGTGTGCCGCTGGTTAAAGGATTCCGTTTGTTTACTAGATTGGGCTTATCTTAAGAAAGGAAGGACATGCTGAAACATTTTGCTGTGAACCAATTAGCGCATGCAGTCTTCACTTTGGTTATACAAAACCCTCCCTAATAACTCTAATTTCACTTCATTTCTCACTCCCTGAAGCAAAAAAAAAGACAATGCAAGCCTTAATTTGCATGTTAAAACGCTGCTTAAAATATTGCATAATTCTAATTTAGGCAGTCTGCACGCTCATACAGTACATCCTTTTATTAACAAAAAACTGTTCCTGAAAAAATGTGTGTGCAATCTTCTCTTTTTCTACTCAAAACCCTCCCTAATAACTCACATTTCCCTTACATTTCTCACTCCCAATGGCACATTTTTACAACAGCAAGCCTTCATTTGCATATGAAAACACTGCTTATACAGTACTATTAGATAATTCAAACTAAGGCAGTCTGCACCCCTACATCCTTTTAATGACTAAAATCAGATCAATTTAAATAAAAAATGGTGTCCTTACTGGTTTAACGCATTTAATTTGGACTAATCAAATCGTTGTTAGCTGTCACTGCTTGTGAAGTCCATTGGCGTATACTGGAAGCTGCATTGCAGTATTTTTGTTCCCTCTTCTCGAGGTAGGAGGTATAGAGAGGCTGCTGCGTGTCCTTTGAGAAGATGCACTATCGACCTCCTTCCAGATGCCTTTTTCTGTCTCATGCAGCATGAAACGCAGCATCTCATTAGCCTGTGTGTATCTGCTGCCTGTGTTTTTCACATTATACAGGTGTAGGCATTTTCCAACAATGCTGTGGGCATTGGGTTAAAGCAGCATCACATGTATGCCTCTGAGTGTGTGCAAACCACCTCCAAAGACGGCTACTGGCAGGGATCGTCCAGTTGTAGCGAGATGGATATTCTTGTTTTTAGCTGGAGGGGAGTAACATTCATTAAGATACCATTAAGATACTAAAAGTTTCCCCTCGTTGATCACGACGTTCCTAAAACCCCAAATAAGAGAAGATTCTCCTTTTTCCCTTCAGAGAATGTCCTATTTAAGTCCTACACAGGTTCTATCTGCCTCTCTTTTCTCCCCTCTACTTTGTCATTTCAGATTAAATCTCCCATCAGTCAAGCCCACACGCACACACAGTCTTTTTAATGATTCAAGGCCTTTAAGTCATCGCACATTCTCTCTCTTTTCGCTTCTTTTTTTTTTAGATGTGCTTATTGATTTGACATCCACAGCCGGTGCAAGCCTGATTATAGATACAACAAACGCCTTCATTCTTTTAATTTCGACTTTAAAACCATTCGTTTTGTTTGGTGATGGAATCAAGGACACTGCTCCTGAGAGTCTGTAATTAATGTGCAAAGCGCTGATGTTTAAACTTGAGCTTCAAATGGCCGTTTAGGTCCATATGTGTCGATTTAGTGTCGTGTCATGGGCAGTTGACAAGCCAATGGAGCTCCAGCCGCACATAGTGTCACACTCTACGACTTAATTACACCGTGTCTACGCTGCAGGGACACTTTGACCTTGAGCCTTGATGAGGAATCAGCTTTCTTGTCCATTTTACTAACCCATATAATGAGACACACTTCACCCCAGATCAATATCAAAGGTCACTTGGTACTGTATACGTATGTAATTGTGTGTTAGGCTGTGTGTGTTAGGCTGTGTGTGTTAGGCTGTGTGTGGCTGCGCAAAATATGGAAACATGTCTTTTTCCCACAGCCCTGGATCTATGATTGCATGTTTGTGTGAATCCATTCTTAATGTTCCATGCGTTGCTGTGTTTGAAGTGTGTGTTCTGTGTGCAGGTTTCCTTCATCCAGAACTTGGTGTTCTGTGTGGAGAGAGCCTACAGGGTGCCTGACTACGGCATGTGGGAGCGAGGCAGCAAATACAACAACGGAAGCACTGAGCTGCATTCCAGGTCAGTCAAAACTCAGTGAAACACAAAGAAAATACAAAATAAATGAATTTATATAGTTTGCATGTTATGAGTTACAGGCTGTGACCAAGTAAACACTGTTCAGGGGTGGCATATTTGTAACATCCAAATCCCTTCTCTTATCTCTGTCAACAGCTGTACATCACTGTAGTTATCAATCTAGCTATGTATTGTACGGAGGCCCTGAGAGGCAACATGTACGATCTGGTGATCTATTGTATCTAAGTCTATTCTAGGCAAGGTAAGACAAGGTTATTTAGCACATTTCAACAACTTTGCAATTAAAAGTTCTTTGCAAAAAAGAAAAAGCATTTAGACATTGTGAAAAGAAACACATTGAAACTACATTTACATACATTTTCAAAACAGTCACTAAAAAGCCAAGAAAATACAACTAAATACGAGCTAAAATAGAATAATACAGGTAGATCTAAATGGTTTTGTCTCCTGTGTTTAAGAAGAGGTGGAACAAGTTTGGCATTTTTCATCTATGAAAACACTAATTATTGACCATATCAGCAGAAAGGGAATTAGCTTTGAAGTCATTTTAATTTTGAATGCCTGCCTTGAAACAAGGTTTATATGCAATATATTTTACGAAACTTTTATTTATTTGCATTTAACCTTTATTTAACCAGATAAAAAAGCATTGAGATAAAATCTCATTTACAATGCTGACCTGGCCAAGAAGGCAGCAACGTTACACATAACACATTTACACAAACATATAAAATACAGAGAACATAACTAAGAAAACAAAAGACGAAAAAGCAGTCACTACATTATTGTGCACATTAGGACAGTAAGAAAGGTACACTACTTAATACTGCAAGAGCAGCTGGTGGTAAGGACTTCAGACAACTTCAACTTATTGAGACAAGTGCCATCAGTTTTAGGCGTGATTGAAGGTCATTCCAAGACCAAGGACCATAATGAAAAAGACTCCTTTTTCCAGCCTCAGTCCGCACAGCAGGTACCTGGAACCGTATCCAGGCACTGGTTCTGATGTTGTAAGAGTCACAAACTGGAAATGGCTTTATACATTAATAAAAATCAATGCTGCATCCTACGCATAGTAAGTGAGGACCATCCAGTTAGGCTATACAGTTTGCAATGATGAGTCCTATAGGGTGCATTTGATATATAACGCAGTGCAGCATGGTAGAGTGGGTCAAGTTTGGCCAAAACAGTGGGACAGGCAACTCTATAAATGGTATCACCGTAGTCCAGCTGGGACAGGAATAAGCCAGAGACCAACCTTTTACGGGATGAAGTTGAAAAACAACATTTAAGTCTGAAAAGGAAGCCAAGAGTGAATTTCAATTTCTTTGTTAGAACTTCAATATGGTGTTTAAAGTTCAGATTACTGTCCAACCAAAAGCCCAGATATTTGTATGTATCGACAAACTCAACGGAGACGCCATCAAGGGTGTCAATGGAGAGGCAAGAGGACGCTGACTTGGGAGCAAAAAGCATTGCTTTGGTTTTCTTACTGTTCAATAGCAGTTTGGAATCAAGAAGCGCATGCTGCAGCGTGATAAAATCTGATTTTAAATTGGAAACGGCCATATCCAGAGAAGGAGCACACGAGTATACAATAGTGTCATCAGCATACATATGATAGGTAGAAAATTGCATCTGATTACAAATATTGTTTACATATAATAAAAAGAGCAAGGGCCCCAAAATAGAGCCCTGTGGAACTCCCTTCTCCAAGGTGACAGGGTCAGAGACAGTACTACCCAACCTGACGCATTGAGTACGGTCGGTTAGATAACTCTGAAACCAGCAAATGGCGTTATGACCGAAACGAGACACCAACATAACATTAGACATAATGTGGTGATCTACAGTGTCAAATGCTTTGACTAGCTCAATAAACAATGCAACACAAACTGATTTATTATCCAAAGCAGCCTTAATATCGTCTAAGACTTTCAGACTGGCAGTCACAGTACTGTGCTTTGATCTGAATCCAGATTGCATAGGGTTAAGGATGTTGTGTGAATTTAAAAAAAGTTTTAGCTGAGTCGAAACAAGGGACTCAAGAATCTTTGATAACACAGAAAGATTTGAGATAGGACGATAGTTATTCAACTCAGTGGGATCACCAGCTTTCAAGAGGGGCGATACCAGAGCTTGCTTCCGCACAGCTGGCAGTGTGTGAGTGGACAGGGAGAGATTACAAATATCAGTTACTGGTTGTGCTATCATCTGAGCTGCAATTTTTAAAAAGAACGGGTCGAGGCCGCCAGGCCCGGCAGACTTTTTAGGATCAATTGAGTGCAAACCCTGTAAGACTTCAGAGACCGAGAAATAAGCGAAATCAAAAACAGGGGAGTTCATCTCTTGACTATGGCTGTGAGTACGACCATTTAGAGAGTCATGACTTTGCTCATCAAAAATGTGACCAGCCTTTTTGAAGTGAGCATTAAAGGCATTAGACATACCATCTGAATCTGAAATAAAAGAATCACTGACCTTCAGTTTTTGTGGGAAACTAGAAACCTTCTTGTTCTGAAGTGATTTAATTGTTTTCCAGAATTTAGAATGGTCATTAAAACAATCAGTAATCAGCTTTAGCTTTTTTAATAAGGGCTGAACATTTATTTCTGAGGACACGAAAAAGAAGCCAGTCATCACTAGTGTTAGACTTTCTAGCTAAGGACCATTGCTTATTTCGATCATGAATGAGATCAGATAATTCTCTATTAAACCATGGAGTGTTCCTATTCTTAACTCGATAAAATCGATCAATAATAAATTGGACGGCAACATCGACAGATGGAATTAACGCTATGAAGTGCCATTTAACCTCCGCCAGATCGTGTAGGAAAGCCTGCTCAGAGAAGTGTTTGAAGCAGCGCCTGAGCACAATAAGGCCCTTGGCTTTGGGCAACTTAGTGCTCCTAACGCAAGCAATAGTGCAATGGTCGCTGATATCATTAGGAAAAACACCAACAGACACATACTTATGAGCTGCATTTGTTAGAATGACATCTATAAGGGTATCGAAACAACTTTGATCTTTGATTTCATATCAATTGTAGCTTCTTTGTTGGCATATAAACAAATAGACCAACACCAGTCAGGTGCAATCTGAAGCAGAAGGTAGTCTACAGTCAGTTGATCAACTAATCTTTGTCAAATAACACTTAAGCCTCGTCAAATATGTGGAGGCGTGTGGCGCAGTGAATTAGTGCGTTGGTGTTCGGATCAGGGGAGCACAGGTTCAAACCCCACTGCAGTCAGCATGTCGTTGTGTCCCTGGCAAAGCAAGGCAAGGCAAGTTTATTTATATAGCAGCTTTCAGTACGCGACAATTCAAAGTGCATTGCCCCCCCTGGTGGCTGAAATATGTTACAGCATTACTACGTCTAAAACTGTTCCAATACAAATATTTCGTATATCAATATTTTAATAAGGTAGGACACTGGTTAATAATATTGTAGCGTGTTCAAGTAACCAAGGGATATAGTAGTTATCAAATAAGTATAAGATGTGCACAGTTATGATAAGTTTTACAGTTATGTAATGCACTGTTGTTGGGGGGAGAGACCGCCCCTTCCATATGAGCGTGTGTGTGTGTACAGCGGGCATGAGGCGTGCATGACGGGACGAGTTGTGTTCGTATGTGGAAAAGTCATACTCAGTGCGGTGAACGCTGGCTTTATTGCTACTGTATCCGTAGCACCCAGTGGCGGCGCCAGGGTATGGCTGGGGTAGGCTACAGCCATACCAAGAAATGGCTTAGCCCCACCTCAGCCCCACCATGAAAAATGATGTTAAAGTAAGCAAATTCAATTAATTAATAAGCAAAATGTTGAGAACTCGGCTTGCGAAAATATACGGGTCTTGTCCACAACACACAAACTGATCCTGCTGTAACAAGTGCACGTTACTGATGCAATATGGTTGAGACCATTCGGGGTTATGCTAGAAGAGGGGTGCAAGGAATAGTCTAAGTAGTGGGGGAGTTTTATACACTAAAGGTGTGGAAATTCTCTGGCGTTATAATATCAGCGCGGGTCAGATCAAAATGCCTCCAAATCCAATTTGAATAGACCTACAGCCAATCAGAGCAATGAAACGTTGGGTCTGCGTTATGCATTACTGATTGAGGTCAATCGGGACTGCCATTCAGTATCCCCATTGGATCTTCAACGTGTACTATCATACGTCACGTTCACAGTGATCCCTTTTTATTTACTACAAGACAAATGTGCCGTTTTATTTCATACAGTTCCATTTTGATTGAGACAGGGAAATAATCTAAACCTCACGCGTGGCGTTTCACTGTCAAGGGGGTAAATATAGCGTGTATGTAATTACATTGCAAATACTGACTTGAGCCCCACCACTGTATGGGTTAGCCCTACCATAGATTACCCAACAAAAATACTCTGGCGCCGCCACTGGTAGCACCCCACGCAATAGTTGGGACTGTGTACTGACGTCAGTAAAAAAGGTTTGCCCCCCCAAGCGCAAATATCAAACTCCGCCTATGACAACAGGCATTTAAAAGGCAAAGATAATAAGATAAACACAACAGTTATACACAACATGAATAAAAAGCAAACTGCAGTGTGAATATGAGCAGTTCAATTAAAAGCAGTTCAATTAAAAGCAGCGGCAAAAATATATGTTTTCAGTCTCGATTTGAAAGTAGTAAGAGTTTCTGCGGACGTGCATGATTCAGGCTGTTTGTTCCAGATTGTGGGGGCATAATCAACCCGGTATCACGGCAAGACGTGAACATGTGACGATCTACCATGCTGGGAGACGTGAATATGTCACGGTTTCGTCCCTTCAAACGTGACAGTTACACGGTATTGTTAACATGGCCCAACCAGTGGAGAAATACCCGGAAGTGCCTAGCAAATGGTCTACCGCGCCTATTGGTCGGTTTTTATTGTCAAAATTAGATGTTTTTAATTTATTTTTTAATCATCACACTTGATTTCGCCGATTTTCTTGTTGCC